ATTTTTATATGTTTACCGAAAATTACAAAAAAATGAATATAAAGCACTTGTGTTCTTGAGAGTTCCGTAATTTCGTGCATGCGTGTATGTTGCTTTTAAACTTTTTATAAATATGTGTAAATAATTTTAATAAATAATATTATGATTATTATGTATTTATTATTTATTATTTTAATAGATAACCTGCCAATCTATGTAGCTCAAATAGAAAGTTTTGTCRTATTTCTAAAGCATTTTATTACTTATTGGATATTTGAATAACACTGATTACTTATACAGCTTTATTTAAATGAGTACGCTTGCTATATTTTTTAGATTTGGATCATTGGATCATATCCAGAGAAATGTCCAAGATATTGGTCCGTGTAGATAGTGCAGTAGGGGTAGTTGCACGAAAAACTTATTAATTATTATCTAAAGTTTTTACTATTTAGTAGGTAGCCTATAGTTAATATGGCCTTAAAATAATACCTACAATGACAATTTGATAGGTGCCTATTAAGGTTTACGGCAGGGGTCAGGAACACGTGAAATATAGAACCAGAAGAACCTTAAGGTACATACCTATACAAATTTATATTTATATTTAATTTTTTAAATTATTGTCGATACCAAAAATATTTTCGTTCAGTCAAATAGGTACTTGAATATTTAATACAATAAGGTTCTTCGGAAGTTTTGGTTAATAGTTATTAATACMAAMAATAATTTTTTATAAGTGTCTTAAATTAGAATTTTGATTCGTATAAAAATCACGAAATTTTTTAAAATTATTTGAATTAGAAATTTATAAAAAAAATCGTTTAGTAGGTATGCATCTAAAATGTAGACATGTAATCCAAGATTCCATAACAATATCCTTATCTTTTATACTAATAACACTTTATCTCTGTGTGGATAGTAAGTATAATTGACACTATTGACAGATTATAATATTATAGTATTAATTTATTAAATTATAATTTAGGTACATTATTAGGCAGTGCAAGCATTATATACAATCACTATTTTATAATATGTTTTWGTTAGACAATTTGATTTTGAGTATTAATTGTATTACGGTATTATTTTATGTTTATCTTAGAATAATGTCTCAAAAATGTCGACTATATCTATGCTTTTTTATGAAATATTAAAATTGAACCGTATATAGTCGTATAAATTATTTAAATTGTATGTATAAATGTAGTTACGGAAATTATATTTGCCATTTGAACAATATTATATAACTTTTATATTATTATTTATTACCTATTATGTTTAGTATAAATGATAAATTATAGGTATATAGGTATACAATATGGATCAAGTACGAAGTAATCAATAGGTACCTTTGACTTATCTAATTACTTAAGACTTAACTATGTCCTTACTCCTCAGTAATATAACTAAAATATTATTATTCAACAAGTAGGTACCTAGCCGATTTGAAACCTTTGCATATTATTCAGATTATATACTCATATACTCTATATGTAATGTATAAGTCATTAGATTTATAAGTCCGAACAWAGAAACCTATTATAAATTAACATTTGTAATAATATTATTTTATTATTGCTTCCGCTAAAAATTGCACGGTGTATAGTGTATACCTACTGTATGTTTGTATACATATCTAATATTCTATTCTATTGCCGTTGGGTAGCGATCAGTGCAGTGTATATAACCATTACCAATACCGATATGTAAATATAATATAATATATCGTCAGACTTTCACTCCAATAATTTAGCCGTGCTCTTAATATTTCGATAGTTTTTTCAATTCAAGTTGATAGGTACCTACGTTAATTTCGTATCAACGTGTTGTGACATAACACATATATTACACTATTTAACTCTTATTATTTTAATACAAGTTGTCTTTTTCATTCAGCAAAAGCCAAAAAGTCAATATTATCATAGGTTATAGGTATTAGGTGGTTAAAACATGTTTTTTCGTTACTTAAATTTTTGTGTTTTAGCATGAAATATAGGTTTTTTATTGAACGTGTCTTATAACTCTTGAAACAAGAGTTACATAAACTCATGATATACATATACAATGAATATTTTATCGTAATATAACTATCTAAATAATAAGTGAACTAAATGAATGACAAGTTTAAACTTATTATCGAAAACAATTCAATCAATAATTTCGATTATTTTTACAAAATTAATAATTTTTAATTTACCTATATTAAAATGTTGTACCCATATTTCCGTGATTAAATTGTTCTAATATTGCCATTTATAACAAGTGTCCCATTTAAATATGACAGAAGGTACAAGTCACTAATTAAGAGACATTAACCTATTAATAACTTACTTCAATAAAGGTACAAATTCATTAAAATTTCACTATTTCAGGGGGGACTAATATTTTAACGTCAATGTGAATGGCGTGGGATTCGATTCCACGTATCTAAAATAATATATTTTGTAGGGCTAAGTCTTTTTAGTGGCTCTGAATTTTGCTTCTATGACCTATCTTTAAAGAAATGTTAAAATCTAAAAGTAGTCATTTTTGAAATCTACAACATATCAATTTACAATAAATCAGTTGTAACACTGAAATCAAAAAAATACAAAACAAATAATTTAGTTTAAAATAATTGAAAATCTTAAAACTACTCACCAGACTCCTATAGAATTTAAGGTTTATGGAATAGGCAGGGCCGTATTTAGGAATTTGACACGAAGGGGCAACAAAAAAAATACGCCTCATTAATCATTATACAAAATACAAATTTAAATTATAAAAAAATTAGCCGCCCTCTTCTACTTAGCCGCCCGGGGCAACAGTACCCTGTAGCTCCCCCCTAAATACGGCCCTGAGAATAGGTACATATTTTAACCACTGATATAATATATTAATATTACACAGCAGTAAAATAGCACGTCAGCAGTTTAGCAAAGCTATAGTACTAGATATACATTATATTATATTATGTAAGCCATTCCTAAACCTAGATTTTATACCCATATGGCTATAAAACGCATCACCAAAATAATCTACCAACAACTTCATCATTAATACCATTGACTATATAGATACTATTGATACTAAAATACAGTATTTTAAATACTATAGTATTACTATAGTATTCATAAACAATGCTAATACCTTTGTAATGTTTTATTAGTGTTGTCATTCTTTGGTTCGTCACATAAACGATTATCATGTCGTGTAATAGTGATGACGACCTTGAGAAAACACATTTTTTTTGAATTGTACCTATGTGGCTAAATCGTTTTTGGATTGCGAAATGCGTGACTAGTTATAATTATTACGCGAAACATTGTGCCGGCCAGACGCGCTATATTGAAATATCGTAACGGTGCTATTGTGTACACATAGTAATATAATGGTACCATAATACCTGCAGTTGCGTACATACTTTGAGTGGGAGGGGGTCAGGGGAGAACAGTTTCGTTTCCTTCCCCTCCCCCTGATTACATTTTTTTCTGTAATACTATGTCGTAGTTATAGCCGTTATAGGTGTACTACTGGATTTTGAATAGATAAATGGCACYTTTRTCTTAAGAATATTGTTTTTTTACTACAGCCATATTTCACGTATATCCATTGTATGCGATATTTGAGTAMAAATAAAGAATAACTTCAGACGAGATGAACAAAAAATGWAAGGGCGGARAGAAACCTAAATAGTTCCGGGTGTGCCTCACGCCCTCACCTCAACTAGATCGTGACCAATAACTGTGGTTTATCTGATACAAGTACATAGTTACATGCATTATATGCGACGGAGTGTCGAGTGATGTCCCAAAACAGACGACCTAAATTATAGGAAGATTAAATTATATCATGGCCAACACAATATACATCTTAACCCGGTACAGGCCGTAGGGTTTTGAAGTTTYGACGGAAAACCGTTAAAGCGTTTAATACTTTGGCTACGTGTACCCACGTCGTCGCTGACTACTTGCATTCTTAGCTTTCGGCGTTTGTTATCCTTATCGATAGTCGTCGAGAACGCGCGTGGGCCGTAACGCCTGCACCGCACCGCCAACAGACGGGGTGGCGGTTTCCGGGTCGTGGGTGGACGACGCGGCTCGCGACGGCGAACAGCCAGCAGCAGCATCTGGTGGGTGATTTCCTACTTCCGAGCGCCGTCGCGTCACGAACAGACGCACGACTGCTCGGCATCGGCGGCAGTTAGTAGTGATTGATAAGATCCCCTCCCCCTGCGCGCCTTGCTAACGTCGTTTTGCTTGCGTGGTCCTCCGTGCTCATTTACGTGTGTGTGTGCGCGTGTCGTTATCACCGTTCGAGTCGTTATCACTTGTCGGGCTGTCGGCGAGTCCTACTCCGGTCGCGCGACTTGTCCACACATTTAACCGCCTAACACGAGCCCCTAACTACCGTCGATCCAGCGACAGCGGCACAGTCGTCTTGTCCGTGCGGCGCCGACACACAGCTTGCCGCCGCAGCCGTCAGCAGCAGCAGTAACCGATTCGTCGGCTGCCACGTTTCGTCTGGGTAACCCTCCCGCACACGCGGACGGTCGGTCGCGGATTTGTTTCTCGTCTGGTCGTCGACTGTACCCGCAGCACGTCGATTGATAGTTACTTTACACTGTAAAGTTTACAGTCTTTTGACGCCGTCAACGAACAGGYCGCCGGTTTATCGCCAAGAACACCCTTACTGGTAACCTACATACCTACTCACAAGGAAACCAGTGCTGCCGCCGCAAATATGATCGGTAATTATTATTATTATTATTATTATTATTATTATTACAAATGTATTGTCATTATTTTCACAACACCATTATATAATAGTATCGTTGTACCGATTTCGAATATTATGATATTTGGTAAATGTGTGTAGTTTGCTTGTATCCGATTTTTACAAAATTTATTTTGTGCGCTCAAAAATCTGGAACACATTATATTATAGCCAATAGGTACGTCATGTCCACCCAGTATTGTTTCAATATGGTGACATTGTTTTGTCGTTTATATTTATTTCTTTTGGTCTAGTTTTGAGTTCTTGGTTTCATCGATTGTCAAACGCTCATTTTTTCGAATTAAAACGTTATCCAGTTTTCAGTAAATTCATTTTATTTTTTTTGTACACTTCCATACTAAATATACCTACTCAAATAGTACTATGTAGGTACTCATAGGTAGGTTTTTTAATTGAGAACTATACTCTGTCTCATGAAAAAACAGCACCGTGTCTCTACCAAAATCGGTCATTCTTGCGCATCCCCACACCGCACCGCAGCACTGCAACAATGACGACGGTCRTCGCCGGCAGTCGTGGTGAGGAGTAAACGGTGTAGCTAATTCTATATGCGCGAAATGGTTCCGTTCTTTCGTGAGACAGACTATATATTATACAAGAAATCTAGATACCATCTTTTACATTCTGTATGTACCTATAGTTAAATTAAATTTGTTTTACTATATGAATTTGAGTGTAAATTTCTTGAATTTAAGAATATAGGGTTTTATAATTCATCACAGAGTTTGTAAATGTTTGCAAATATTGATTAAGTGTGAAAATAACGGAATAAATAATTACCTACACATAGGTTTCTTCAAAAAGTAGTTATTTTACAGTAGGTAATATGAAACAAAATATTCATAATTTTGTTAGGTTTATGTTATTTCAATGTTTATTTTATTAGAAGATTGTTAGGTAACCTACACTAGAATATAGTACCAAATAAATATTACAAAGAACGCATCAATAATTTGGAAGTTTTGTTATTTTTGTGTCTCCCAAATCTAGGTCAATTGCCACCTGTCAGTTTTTTGCAGAGTTTTTAGGGATATCAAACAATAAAACATATGCTTGGATAACTCCCTCTCATAGGGGTGTATTTAAAAATGTGCGAGGAAATGTCTCATGGGAGGGGGAGTAAGTTATATCATATTTCTATCTTAACATTATGTCATAACTTATAACCAACCAAAGTACATGTGTTTAAAAGAATCATAATTCATAACATTTAATTGGTAAGAGAGGTTAATACTTTCAGTAATAACAAATTATAAAATATGTGAATGGGGGGAGGGGATAAAAGCCTTATGTGTCTTTGGTTAAGTACGCACCTGCCCAGCCATAATATATTATTACAGGACTTAGACTTTAGACTTTTTATTTTTTTATTACAATAACATAAGGAGCTCGGTTAAGAGGTAAATATCTTATACTAATTAAATTAACCCGCCTTCTTATGTATGTCATTTAAAATATATTTTTTGTTTTTAAATTAAAATATTGAAAATAGATTTAAACAACATAATGTGTTTATTTACTGTTACTATTTATACTTACTTAGAATGTTATGAATAACATTTATGGTTAATTTATCTGAAGTTACACAATAATTTTAAATATGTGTGATACAATTTTGATAAGTAAATTTGTTTAAAAGTTATTTGTAAGATTTAAATAGGATAAAATGAGGAATCAAAACTTATTTTTAAAATCCATATAGCATTATTAGATTTATCACAACACTATTCAATATGTCAGAATGAAAGTAGTTCTTTTTATCATGAAAAAGTTGTTTTGAATTCCTCCATATGTTATTTTAAAATGTTCTACTACCTGGCGGTAATGTGGAAAATGTTTTACTACTGGATGGAAACTAACCAAATAATATTTTTCATAGGTGGAACATAAACATAACAAATTACTGTGCAAAAAATATCTTAAAACTTTATAGTTAGGTAGTTATTATATAAATAATTATAATGATTGTTGTTATTATTTTATACTTATATAAATTAAGAAAAAACCAAACAATTATAATTTTACTTGTTTTAAGAGTTTGCAGGTATAATATAATTTTAATTATACTTTGAACTATATACAACCCATGTTCCATAGATATTTAATTTATTATTAATTTGGTTTTTATTTATTTGTGAGTATTACACAATACTTATATTATTCTTTGTGTACTATTAGATGTTTATTTAGTACTTATTTATTTCCAGGTTCAAAAATGTTGGCTTTATTTGTACCCGTGTTGGCAATCAACATTTTATCAATTCAAGCATGGGATACTGATCAAATGGAAGTKTTTGATTTGGTTGAAGAAATGAATAATATAAATTTTTATCAGTTTTTAGAAGTACCTGAAGTGAGTATTGCATAATATACATAACTACAGTGTATACAATTACATTAACTATGGAATATCTTAACACATTTTAGTCCCCGTTTTAGTCTATTTATAATTTAAAATAAGGTTTCTTGTTTGTAACTTGATTAAACATCTGCTATACTATGATATTTTATAGGTATATATTATTGGCAAAACTTACATTAAATTTTTTACTATTAATAGTATCTAGGATATTTCATAATTTAATAATTAAAACATAGTTACCACTTTAAATGATATACTTACCTATAATATAACTAAAAGTCAACTATATTGTCAACTAACATACTTAAAATATAATTTCAAAATTAGTTTAGTGGCRAGGGAATATGGCTAGTGTCAAGGCTAGGAATAGATCCATATCTATTGTCTTAAGTTATTTAATGACCTAACAGTTTTAATTACTTCTTTATTTTTTATTAACTATCATGCTGTATTATACAATTTTAAATAATACTTAAAATATGAAATATTTTAAYATTGTTTTTCAAATTTATTACTTTTTTTCTTTCATTTACTATTATAACATTTATAACTGTAATATGAAATACAACTAATGATTCATGAGAAATAAAATATAAATTTAAAATATGTGAATCCTTTTTAAATTAAAAGTATATATTATTATTAGTATCTTTAATAAACTTTTGAAACTTATTGTAAAATAAGGTAGTAAGACTAAAATGTTTATTTATATTTTATTTATATATTTGAATGGATTTGTATAATTTATTGTCATAAAATTTTTTTAGGATGCTAATTCATCAGTAATAAGACATGCATTTAGAAGGATGTCACTTATATTACATCCCGATAAGAATAACTCTCCAGATGCTGAAGCCAGATTCAGAGAATTAGCTTCGATCCATGATGTTTTACGGGATCCTGTAAAACGTGGTCATTATGACAAAGTTTTAAGTGAAGGGTTACCGGATTGGCATCATGCTGTTTATTATTATAGAAGAGTTAGAAGGATGGGATTCCTAGAAATGATTGTTATTCTATTTTCCATAATAAGTGTTGGACAATATCTTGTGGCATGGGGATCGTATATAGAAAATAAATTCACTGTGGTATGTAATAATAATTTAATATTCATTATTATCAGTTAACTAATTATTTTATATTTTAATATTTACTAGGAAGAGTTATTAAGTTCAAAAATAAAAAAAATTCGAAAACAAAAGAAATATCGAGGTGATTCAACATTACCGCCGGAATTTGATGTTAACATACCTAAACCCAGGTTTGTTTGTTTGTTTTTTTAAAAAATATTTTCAACACTTACATGTACTTTTTTTTCAGTTTGAAAAATACACTTCCATGTCAATTACCTTACTGGTTATGGGTATTCATCTTAAAATCACCTTCACTTACAACTTCAGCTATATCATTTTTGATCACAAAGTTCAAAGAGAGAAAAAATAACCAAAAGTAATTATCTATYTAATTTCTCTATAATATTTAAATACTCTACTATACTTTGTTCAGCAAGAAAGTGGCGAGAGCCCATCTCGGCGGTTAGCAAAACTCATCTCTAACTGCTGTGTATTYCTTTTACTTTACTAGTGCAAACATCATCTGTTGATGCCTCTTCACTTCTACTAGTAGTATTCATATAAAGGTATCACCTGGTAGAGAATTTAGGACCTGAGATAGTGGAGTGTGTTTATTTGGATATGTGAGTTGCGCTCTCTTATAGAAAAGAGTATAATATGTTGAAAAGACGCCACACCCGCATTTGTCCCAGTCATACAACACGTAACATAGCAAATGTACGCTCAGCAGTTCACGTCTTATTTTGTTGGCTTAAAAATTAGTGTGAATAGACCTATTATGAAACTTGATGATAAGAATATTATCTGTGTTTTGTTGGAAAATTTTTTTACGATAACTCCGTTTTTAAGTAATTTATGCGTAAATTGCAAAATAAAAATGCTCATAATTTACATATAAATAGAATTATTGTAAAAGTTTTCCTACAAATCACAGATAATGTTCTTACTATTAAGTTTCCTAATAGGTTTATTTACTCTAATTTTTTAGTTAACGGAATAAGACATGAATTGCTGAGCGTAAATTTGTTACGTTACGTGTTTGTAGGACTGAGACAACAAATGCGAGTGTGGTGTCCTCTCAATCGAATACTGCAATCAGAGTCATGCCTAGTGGTAGGAGGCAGACAAATAGGTCAAGATTAAATCACTTGCTGTACTAATGATAACTGTTGTACAATTCAATTTTATTTGAATAAATTGGTTCTACATATTTCAATATAAACTTTTTATTACTCAAAAGTTATTCACAGGTGCTCTTACTATTTTTAATGTTGTAATATATAAATTCAAGGTATTGTGATTGTTTATATTATTAATGTATTTTGTCATAGAACTTATTGGTGATAATTATTAATTTATAACTACTACTACAGTTTTCTGTAATACTGAATACCTATTTGGTAAATAAAAATGGTTTCAAAATGCAGGTATACTCAGTTCAAGAACATTCCGATCTGCTCTTGTAACAGAGGTGTAATTACTAATTAGTGTACATGATAAATGTAATCAGCTGCTATTCACATCGATTGACACATTTACGATTGTTATTATTATTATAGATATCTTATTAACATCTGCATGTTCTCATGTTTCTGAAATAGAGTATAGTTATTTAATTTTAATTGTGGTCTTCATAACAATGACGTAATTTTTGTAAAATATGTTAAAAAATTAGCATCAAAATTTAAGTTAATCATATAATTTTATATTTAGAATTAGTTTTTGAAGAAATAATGTTAATAGTAAAATCTTTATTAATTTTAGTAAAATGGAAATTGAAAAACCAGAACCAGTCATTCGTGAAAGAATAAGACGTCGTAAAACGCCATATAAGATACCAGAAATTAATGATTATAAAAACACTAATGGAGATACGCGAGGCAAAGTTAATACTGAAAATAATGATACTCCAGCAGTTGCTGGTGGTTTGTGGACTGATGAAGATTTATATGAATTGTCTCAAATGGTAAATAAATTCCCTCCTGGTACGTCAGATAGGTGGCAAAAGGTTGGTAAAGCAATGCAACGCCCTGTTCTGGAAGTTGCATACATGGCCAACAAAATGAAACAAAATGGGTATAAGGTGCCAACTCCAGGAGAGACGATAGAGCCAGTTATCACCGAAGAACCGAAGAAAGTTAAAACAAGAGCAACAGAAAATCTTGATTCAACCGAAAGCTCATGGACTCAAATTCAACAAAAAACGTTTGAAAATGCTCTTATTAAGTTTCCTAAAGGATCCACTGAAAATCGTTGGGAAAAAATTTCTAAATGCGTACCAAATAAAACTAAAGTAAGTTTAAAATCCTAAAATAATTGAATTATTTTAAAATAATTTTCAACTGTAATACTTCAACTATTAATAAACAATACATTTTTTTTWAAATTGAAAATTATAATGTATGTTATATGTTCTATAGGAAGAATGTATGGCAAGATACAAAGAATTAAATGAGCAAGTGAAAAAGAAAAAAGATCAAACTGAGGATGGTTTAGAAAATGTTGAAAACAACACTAATGAATTATAAATTATGAATTTTCTATATACCTTGCTTTTATGTCCCCTGTTTCTTCTTAAGTCTGATTCGGTTGTGATTATTTAAGCTCATTTTATAACTGACATAACATCGGCATGTGTTAATAGCCAATTGAAATGAAAATCCATGTACTAAATTAATATTAACCCTAAATGCTCCAAGTGACTTTTTGTCAATCTTACAAATAACTATGGAACCTAATTAAGATATAATTTATAATAATTCCCTATTATGTTATAACTATTTTATTCATTAAATAAATTTATGTTATTTACCTGTTTAAAAKTAATATACCATGTATATAATGTGCTAAAACTGTTAAAGATTCTGTAAAAGTCTTCAATAATGACTTAGGTATTTTGTCATCTATTTCATTTGGTTTATTGTTATTTTAATTTTTCTTATGTTATCCTATTGAAGTTAATTCCTTGTATGTTATTACATTATTAATGAGTATACAATTATATTAGTAAAAAATAACATTTAATTTTAATTTTTTTGATTTGTTATTCAAGTTACAGACTTTTTATACCCTAATCATTAAATACTAGATTTAATACTGTAATGTATTTTTACATCATTAGTTGAATGACTGTAGATCACATGAACACCTGTTTGCATGATCGGGGTTTTTTTAGTTTAAATATAACTAATATAACTTAAGATTTATTATTTAATTCTGATATATATATATGACAATTATACAATATAATGATTTAAAATAGTAAAAATAGATTAAAAACATTTTATAGCAAGTAAATTTTTCATATTTCATATAAACATTATGACATTTTTTATAATTAGTAATGATGAAGTATGATTTGTACAGTAACAATGATAATAAATGATAAAATAAATAATTAAAATTGTATAAATAGTATCCCTCATATTTACCGGTAAAATGTATGTTGTATGTGTATAATTATGATGAATAATTGGATGCATGTCAGATAGGTTTAATGGGTGATAAGGAATAAAAATTTTTTTACCACTAGCGAATTATTTTCAAAATAATTGTTAAAATAGTTGATTAAAAATTTAATTTAAATGATAGAATGAAATGAAATGATCAGTATATAATATTTTTAGTATTATATTTTTTTAGTTTTAATGATTATTTATATTATTTTTTAACAATATTGCATACCTTTTTTTCATCATTTTGAAAATKTATAAAATCTTTTCATCATTTATAGTGTTTTATTCGGATTGTTGGTGTTCAATATTGTTTACAATTTCTTAATTAGGTAGATACTTATCTTATTATTATAATTCAATGATAATAAATAGTCCATTAAATTTCTTAAATTTCATAATTTTTCAAATTGTATAAACTAATGTACTAATCTGTATATTATATTGTTATTATAAACTGTGTATGTATTATGCATAAGTTTACTAGTGTTATAAACTTATAATTTATCAATCATTTTATACCCACTGTTTCTTGTGCAACTGGAGGTATAGGCTGTGGATCATCAGGATTCACATGTTCATCATCTGTATCTGATACTGCCAAATCATTTTATTTWWTTTTTTTTTTTGAAAAACGATAAAATAGTAGTTTTCTGTTTTCTCACTAATTTTTAGTTAGTTTATATTGATATTTATATTAGTTAATACGTTTCAAAACTCTAATTTAATAATAATAGGTACTAGGTAGGTATTGAAACATTTAATCTTTTCCTACATGTGCCATCATATTATTTTTTTATGGAATTGTGTTTGCCGATTGGTATTATTGTGATAACAACAAAATAAGTATCATCACAATCACAGTATATAATAATCGTAATGAACACTGGTAATAAATAATAATTTACACAGGCAACATATTATTAGGACGGCAGCTTGAGTCAGTCGACACCATTATCCACAGAGTAATAATATAGACACCAAAGGTAGACAGTAGCATAGATGCCAGCTGTTTAGCAGAACAGTGGTATTATACAATATAGTAAATAGTAAACCTCCCTATATAGTTGCGCCACTGGTTGACCTATTACTAGTTATAAATAATCAATAATAGTATGTATTTACTCGAAATTGTAATTTAATAGTTGTTTTCATATCTATATTCATGATTTAATAATCGAAATATTTAGTTTCTTAAACAAATAATTGTATTGAGATTATATTTTAGAAATTTTATTGGGTTSYTCATAAATTGAATATTGTGAAAAAAARTTAATACTTACRTTCAAATTAGTTTACTTAAAAAAATAAACCACTTTATTTAAATGTACCATAAAAATATGTCTGAAAATTAGATTTAACTCATTTAAGAATAGCTGTCTAAATTTAAAAAAGAAAAAAAAAATTTCTGTGGATAGCCACTAGCCAGGTAGGTTAAACTAGCGCTATAACGACTAGAAATTATGTATAAAAAAACCATTTACCTATTAACACAAAAGTTATTTCATTTGTCAGATCTGTTTGATATACCTTGTACAATATTATAATATAATATCAAAATATTTTTTTAATTTCATTCATGTTTATATTTATTTAGGTACAAATTGTAATAATTGTAATTGTACTTGTGTAAATCGTACAATGTAGATACATACCATGGTAAAAAAAAATATCATAATCTGTGGTTTATTATTTTTATTTTATTAATGGTTTAAGTTTGGCTAGTACCGAATTGGTTCCCGAGCCTAAAACTCACATGAAAATTGGTTCCCGTTTAATTACGYACATTTTCCTTTTTAATTTTACAGCCTTAGGACTGTYAGCTTGAAAGTAGTCTTGGTTAAAAATGTGCGTTAAAATGTKTTTAAAAAAGGAAATAATATTATATAAAATTTAAAATTGTGGAAGTCACTTAGGTTAGGTGTACAAAATA